TATTCCGCTAGTATATGCCTATTCCGCTCATATGCCGCTAAATCGGAAATGTCTATTTGGATTTTATATTGGTTTGATTTGAATGTCGCCGGGACAGGTCTTTATTTTTGAAATATAGAACTGTACCGGGACACTATTGAGGATAACAACCGCATTACAATATGGGATTGGGGTGTGGCTGGTTATTAAAGCTTGAAAGCTTTAATAATAAGTTCACAGTGTTACTATAGAGGCTTTGCACCATCACATGATGGCAGCCATGACAGGGGGCAGGAACAATTGAATCTGATTTACATTAGAAAGAATTCAGTTTCCCAGAGGGAATAGACTCTGTCTGTTGTGCCTACTGTCATGGCTGCCATCACGTGATGGTGCAAAGCTTGTATTATAAAAGATTCGTTTTTGGTTCACTTGTACTTATAAGTTGCCATCACATATTGAATAGGGACCTTAAGCTGCAGGACGGCAACGTGGGCGACAACTTCGGCGCAATTGAAGCGCTTCAACCTTCTATTGTATTATTATTTCGTGTTTACCTAGTATATTACTCAATAAACATCCCCGTTTTAGACTGAAATGTCGTCTTTTGGGAGCGCTTTACTTATAACGAAAATCAGCAAAGATAACCTTTTGGCGTAGCCGTTCTCTTTAGTACGTAAAGATAGGACATTTCACGTCTTACTTTCAGCATAAGACGGCAATGATGCACAGTATTTCGTACATTCCAACGAGTATCTATTGAATAGCGCAATTAGTGCTATTGTATGTTTGCCGTCGTCGTCGTCGTTGCCGTCCTGCAGCTTAAGGTCCCTAATGACCACTAGAGAGCGACCTAGCTTATGTCTCTTTAATTCTGAGTAACGAAGCTGAAAGCCACTGCATATTTGTGACATTTTGTTAGTATTTGCATATAGTTACTGTTCTTTTTTTATCAAATATGTGCGGTAGGTGCCTTCTTTAGAACAATAGCAACTCCTCTCTCCCAATTAAAAAAGTAAATAGAAAACCTATATTTTAAAGCCATGTAAACGTGTTCAAACAGAAGTATTTTATTTGTAGCAGGTGCAGAAGACTTATTTAAACTTGTAGTGAAAGCCTTAAAATGCACACATTTGCGACTCAAGGCAACAAAAACGTAAAGACCGTGGGCTATTAACTTTCCCGAATTCTTGAAATTCGTTGCCTTATAGGGCTAAGAAGAGATAACTAGCTAAAAACTTGTGTGAGCTGAAAGTGTAAATTTTACACCGCAAAAAGATGAAAAAACTTACTGACGTTTCGGACGCTAGTCCTTCGTAGGAGTAAAAGAGGGTTATAAGGCTATTTTAGTTGTTGTTTTTTTTTTTGTTTTTTTTTTTTGTTGGTTTGTTTGTTGGTTTTTTTTTTAATTTAAATTTTTTATATTTTATGAAACCAAAAAAGTTTGAAAATTAACAGGACAATTAAACTTTCCTAACACTTTGCAGGGACATATCCAAAAGTTTCCCTCGATTTGATTTGTCCCCCTCCCGCCTGGCTACGCCCTTACTGTGCTGTTCACTATCAACAAGAGAAAAAACAAGTACAAGTATCAAAGCGTCTCCAAAATTGGGAGAGACTACATATCAAGCAATTGATGTAATGTGTTCATAAAAATACAATGAGTCACACAATAGATAGAACGACAATAGAATACAATACATTTTCTGAAGACATTACATCAACTGATTGCTATGTAGGTTTTTCCCTCCTAAATTAGCCCTATGATGCAACGCGTCCTGTAGCTACACGGCAAGACTAATCAGCGCACAAGGGCTGCGCACCATTTATTTAGAAGGGTTTTAGCTCACCGCACCGTGGGCTTTTTGTCGTAAGGTATTTGACTTTATTGAGTTATTACTGTTGAATGTTAATAAATCGTTTATTGGATGAGCTGGGGATGTAGGGACCAGACTTAGACACGCGTAACTCAGTTTTCATTTAATTCGTAACGACTCTCACGACATCTCGTCATTGAAGACTTTGTACAGTTTATGACCTTTGTATGGTTTATACGCTATTGTACGGTTCTACAACGAGAAAGTTATATTCTTAACATAAGACTTGCAAATCTGAACGTAAGAAAAAACCGGAATTTACCTCAAGTTTGGCCTACAGTAATGACTTTAGATCTTCTAACGTCCTTGCTACGTTCTTGTTACGTTCTTGCTACGTTCTAGCTACGTTCTTGCTACGTTCTTGCGCATGGCGAACTATGTTACCGCTGACCATATCTTACAGGGGATTTCCCAAAAGTAACTTTTTTAGCTAACTTTATTACATTACCCTTTGGTAAGAAAACCAGTAGTATGAATAAGCAAAACGCAAACTACAAAACTGTGACGATTTTTGACTTTTTGCCTCTTTAAAAGCTATTCAATCTTAAAGTTGGGACGTCAGAAATTTCAGTGTCGGTTGACGTTTTACCGCATAAAAGACGAAATACTCAAAATATGAAAAATCGTTCGCGCACTTTCGTAGTTTACTATTTTGCTTATTCACAACGTGCAATTTTTTTTGGCTATACGCGCTAGCGCCATGTCCATTAATGCACCTCTATGGAACGTACCCAATTTTGTTTTAAGGCTCCGTAATTGTTTGAAATTAGGAAATCGCTTTTAAATAATATTATTTTCGAAATCTTTATCATGAGAGATTTAAAACGATATATTTTTTATAGGGTTCTGTTGAATGTGTTGCGAAGAGAGAGTCTTAAAAAAACATACTACCCCTGAAGGTCTCCAGTAAACTTGAGAAATATTTCCCAAGACGGGGGTAAAGTATTCCGTAACATCCACCCGCAACAGAACCACCCAAACCCATGAGCTCTTCCTTACAAGTTCCTGATGGCATCCGAATTTGTTAACATACTCTTACATGTCCATCCAGCCTTCAGTAATTTGGAATTATAGCGGAAACTGAGTCATTTCATAGTTAATACTCCTTGCAGCACTTTTTTTTGTCCCCCAGATCGAGCTGTTTTGATGTCACATGTTAGGGGTCTATTGGAGACTTCATCACGTTTTTTTCCAAACTAATAGGATAATCAAACTAATAATGAACTGTCTTCCCAGCTAATGAATTGAGTTGCCGGCAGATCTAAAATGCAGATCAGAAACTGCAGACCGAAAACTGCAGACCGGAATCTGCAGACCGAAAACTGCAGACCAGAAACTGCAGACCGAAAACTGCAGACCAGAAACTGCAGACCAGAAACTGCAGACCGAAAACTGCAGACCAGAAACTGCAGACCGAATACTGCAGACCGAAAACTGCAGACCGAAGATCGAAGAATCCACAGATGTAACTATCGAGAATTGAAGAATTCAAACGAAACTTAGAACTATCTCAGAACGGAACGAAACAACGAATACGTAAATTCAAATATCGAATACTAAAGCGAATCCAAAAGAATCCAAACCGATAAAATGCAGACTGATAAATTAAATAACATTTTGTACATTTAACCGACATATTCGTTGTGAATCTATCTGGTTTTAACTAATAAAAATAATGAAAAACTAAAGAAATACGTTACGTATAATTGGCTTATCGTTTTTACGGAACTCTTTAAGTTCTATAATCTCCGTGTAGTATTTAATTTATCAGTCTGCATTTTATCGGTTTGGATTCTTTTGGATTCGCTTTAGTATTCGATATTTGAATTTACGTATTCGTTGTTTCGTTCCGTTCTGAGATAGTTCTAAGTTTCGTTTGAATTCTTCAATTCTCGATAGTTACATCTGTGGATTCTTCGATCTTCGGTCTGCAGTTTTCGGTCTGCAGTTTTCGGTCTGCAGTTTTCGGT